CAAACGAAAAATGGAAGAGAAAATCAAAATCATTTGGATTTGTTCATTGTTTTTAAAGTGGGTTCGATCTTTTCCATGAATAACCACAGCCATAAGATGGCCGGCCGGTAGGATTTTCACCGGCGGCGACCCACCGGCCTCCACTAAATTGGAAGCCCCCATGTGGGTTGGGGGCTGATTATTAATATGCCAACAAATTGCCTTTTTTTTTTCCGGTTAAATTATAACTTTCCTACCTAAACTTTAAGTTTGGATCGATGATGTACTTCTCAATAGTGTAATAGATTCTTGAGTCGGTATCTAAATAGACTTCTATATTTTAAAAAACGTCTAATAAATATCTGAACTTTTAATTTTGTGTTTTAATAAATCTTTTGCCTACTCAATATTTTTTTTAATTTACGTATATATTAAATATAAAATTGAAAATTTATGGACAAAATTCAGTTTTATGCCTAATGTTTCTTTAATTTAAAATACCGAATAGATTATAGACATAATTTGCAAAATCATGACCTATTAAATTCCTAATTAAAAATGGATACTTCTTTGTAGATTTAGAGATTTGTTAGATATAGAGACTAAACATTTATATATATAATTTAACATTTTTTTTTGGTTTGGGCTAATGGGGCATGAGGCACAATACGGTCTTAAATGCTACACAAAACCACATGGTTCTGTTCCCTTCTTGAATCTTCCTTTCGTTTTTAGAATCTAAGTTCATATTATGTTTCCTAATTAATAAGAATTAGTGGAAGCTTTAATTGACCACTTACTTTTTCAAACGACATGACTTTTGATAAATTTTAAAGATAAACTTCTCTTCTTGATTGGTTCTTTCTTGAATTATTGGCTTCAAAGTTCAATCAATCTAGGTTTATATATATAAAAGTTATTTGAAAAATAAAATATGTTCTCGATTTAAAAAAAATATAAAATAGAAAAAGATTTAGGGTACAAAAATTAAAATCTCTAGATTTAGTATAGAAATTTCAAGTTTATAAAAAATGTCAACATATATATTTTGATAAAATATCAATTATGATTGAATACTCGAGAAACCAAAAAGCTTATAAAATTACTTTGAAGTTTTCTACACTTTTTAACTATGTTGTAAATATTAAATAATGTTTGTGCTTATATTGATGATTTCTTTTTTATATTTTATTAATATTGATAGACTATTGAATTGTACTTAAAAAAATTCGTTAATTTAAAGACATTGGCATGTCGTTAAATATTTTATTGTATAATTGTAGTAAGTGTGGAATTAAAGTCCATATACTTGGTACGCATGACTTAAAAAATAAATAAAATCACAGTTTATGTGTGGCTGAATTTTGGCCACAATAAGCACCAACTTTTTTTTTCCTTACAAAATTATAAATAGTACGATTGTCAAAATAAATTCCAAGTTACAAGGTCTGATAAAGTTTTTGTTTTTCTAATTTTAGCTTTAAATTTATTTCTAGTTATAAGTGTTTTTTTTTTTGTAAAATAATATTATAAAACAAAAAAGAAATATGATAATGTTCCTCTAACCAAATATGTTTTTATTAAAGTTTATGTTTCAAATAAAAAAGCTGTGAAAAGCATACTACATAATAATTAACATTTAGTAATGAACATAAAAATATTTAACTAAAACTAGYGACGCCAGCTTAACTCGATCATCACTTGTACATGTCTTTGACTAAAAGCTTATGACCAATTAAATTTATATTATTTTTATCTRCATTAAATTTATAATTAAAAATTAAAATAAATGGATAATAATATTATAATATGTGATATGAAAAATATGAGACTTTATAAAGTGGGGCCTTAKGCGATTCATTACTTACTTAGTATATCTTTTTAGACGAGACTTGCTACATGTATTCAAAGTTACACTATCAATTTTAAAAGTTAAAAAAGAAAAAAATGAAAAGGAAAAAGGTAATTAAAAATAAAAATAATTGAAACTAAATTCAAATAGAACTAGAATAAATTTAAAGACGGTAGTCCCGAAGGACGACTAAAATGGTAATTCAATCATGAAAAACTTAGGCGTCACCCCAACCATGGAAAGTTAAAGGGCCTTTCAAATTTGCTTTTCCTGGAAAAGTATGAGGTTGTTGAGGGTAAGAGGGTTATGGTGGCTATCATTTCTGCCATTATTTAGCCACCAAGTTAGGTTCTTTCCATTTCTATGCATTGAACCCATCCTCAGTGTCTCTCAATTTTGGTACCTAATTTCGCACTTGTTGGCTTAGGAACTTTGCTTTTTGTGGGTTGGGGTTTCACTGTGGATTCCATCTAATTTTGCGACTTTTTTTGTTCCATTCTAAAACAATTGAAGGTGTTGATTTGTTGTTTGTGTTTTGGGTTACCAAGGTATATTGCTCTTAAAGTTATATAGGAAAATTGAGATCCAAAAAGTAATAACAAACTGACTTTGCCTTTAAAAGTATAAAATAATCTAACATTTTCAAATCTACAAAGTTGGTCAAACTTTTCTATTAAAACACAAGTGGATGTACTCTCAATTTAAAATTCTATCCCACCAACTCAGCTCACAATCTAACAAGTGACTCTAATTTTTAGCCGGCTCAAAGTTAATTAACATAATAGCTAGTAAGAACGAGGATGATAAAAGATCTTCCAAGTCATGATAATTTGTTAAAAGTTTTATAATTTTCAATAATTGCCGGCTGTTGTTATAAGGAAATTCGCCTACCCTTATTTAACGGACTCTGCCAACATGTCATTAATTATATTTCTATTTTACCCTTCTCACATTGCACTCACATTGCACTGCCCACCTTATTTGACATGCCTTCGACTTGAGAATTAAGAAGATTGATGTGTATAGAGGTTCATCACTTGTCATATTCCAGACAAACTGACGATTGGAAAATCAAAAGATTAGAAGTTCATTCCCTATCTAAAGTCTCTTGAAGATAAGCCTAAAGTTAAAAAGATGGATTCCCTTCCATTATCTGTCACTACATATACCGAAATTAAAAATCAAACTAATTTGGATTATATTTCAAAATCAAATCAATATCTTTACCCTACATAAAAGTAAATTTACAAAATAAAACTAGTCAAAATCTATTCTTCCACGCTTTCTTTCCCTCTTTTCTTACTTTTTAAATATTTGTAATTTGATTCTAGTAAGGTTGAATTCCTCTAATTTTGTAGGGTGGAGATTTAATATAGTTGCAATCTTGAAGGTTCACTCCCTATTTAGACATATCCASGATTGAATTCCAGCAATAGAAAAATTTATTTGTTCTTTGGTGGAGGCTTAACAGATAAAGTCAGTGAAGGTTTCCTTAAATGGAGCACCCATGACTAGGGGTTAATCATTCTAACTAGCGCAACTCTTTCTCCACCTACTCTTGGTCACGTTATTGGCTCTTCTTCTTCACAAGAATTATGGTTATCTCTAAAAAAATCTATTGTCTCACYTCCCAAAAGTTCTGATCTTCTCCCTACTACCATGACTATTTTTTGTCATGGAATGAAAATTTTAGAGGACATTTTGGTAATGGGGTGGTGTCCTGTGGTGGGATTCTATCACTTTTGTTGAATTATATGGTTAGCGACTTTGTGGATACAAATTACCTCGTAAATAGTTTCACATAAAATCACAAACCCGACAGAGATTCTATAATGGAGAGCACTTACTCGTTAYAGACGCACCAACAGACACACGTTCTTCAGAGAATGGAAGAACGAGAAGAGTAATACAGAGAAAGGAAAATGGAGAAAGACTATTTCCGCTTTAAGGAAGAAGAAAATACTTTGTGCTTTGGGAGAAGAAAAACTTGATATATGATATGATTATTTAGTCTCTCAATATACTTACTCCCTCCATATTTCAAAAACCATAAAACCCTAAAACTGTTGTGTGGATACAAATCTAGTAGATTTTCACTCAAGCAAAAATGTAATTGGAAGCGAAAGTGTGATTGTTATTCAAGACATGCAGACGCACGCTCACAAACTCGATAGAGACTTTGTAATTGGAAGCACGTACCCGTGCTAGACACACTTGGGGAAGAAGGAAAGATTTTATGTTTAGTCTCACGATATACACAAGAATTATAAGTTTTTCCAACCCAACAAAATWACAAATATTATTATATTTTAACGTTTTCACTGCAATTTAAATTATTTTGTTATAGTTCCTAGAGTTAATATTTTTCTTAAAACTGTAACTACCAGTTATCGATTATAACATTATGAGATACTTTTAACCATTTTTATTTTTTAAAAAGTCCTATTTAGTTTGGCCATTCCCCTCGTTGTCCAAAAAAATATATGAAAAAAAAAACAACTATTATAAGACATCTTGATTCATATTGAGCAAATATAGATTCAATGGGCCTAGTTGGGCCTGYTCATAATCTAATTTGGGTTGGGCCAAAATTTGGATTAGGTTGATATGGTATTGGTCTCGCAAGTCGCAACCAACTCTTCGACTTGATGACCTGGATTATATGGATGATTTAGATTGACTAATTCAATTAATTATCTATATATAGAAAAGAATTCTTTTTGGACAATAATATTCTCATAACTTCAGTAGACTTTTTAATAACATCAACGCTCTAAACTGTTATCTAACCATAAATATTTTTCTTATCATATATCTTTTGAAATTAGGTTCTTTCTTAATGGCTATTAATATTTTTGGAACTTTATTATTTCTTCTAGATCATRCAAAACTATTAAAGTATTTCTTTTAAAATATAATTTTTTATCCGATCTAAAACCAAACTGAACCGAACCAACTTCACCCTAAATTGTGTGTATTTGTCCTCACTCCTGTAGGATGCATAAGAAAGAGAGAGAAAATTTTTGTCTCATAAACAGATTGTGTTAAAAATAATTAAATGAATTAATTAAAAAAATAAAATACCTACAATCGAATAAATAAAAAATTTCAAAAATAAATGCAGAAGTTTCTACTAATATACATATAATTAGTTACATAACACATATTACTTTATGTCACAATAATCTATAATTTTTCTTTTCCAATTCACAATAACTTATAATTAAAATATGCTTAATTAGTTACATTTTATTATATATATAAAAAAATGGTCATCCTACATTTTCTTTTAGTTAAAAAAAATATCTCGTTAGAAATTTTTACATTATCAGTTTCGAATTCAAAATAAAACATGAAAGATTTATTCTTCTTCTTTTTTTTTTYCCTCTTTGAAATATGATAAAAGATCGTAATCTCAAAATCTACAAAAGAGAATTTCGAAAACCAATAAAAAAAAAAAAAGAAAACAATTACCTTCGATAATTAGGATAAAACTTAATCCAAAATTTAAAATCCAGATAGCTAATTATATCCCCATTAGGAAACGGAAAACCCTATTTTTTTCTCTATAAAAGAAAGCAACTTGGAGAACAACAATCACTCTCACTCTCACTCTCAAAATTTGCTCTTATTATTATTAGTTTGTCAGAGATGGCCGGAGGAGTTATGGTGGCGCCTGAGAAAGGGAAGGAGTATCCCGGAAAATTCACCTGGAAAGTTTTCTACACATGCTTCATCGCCGCCTCCGGCGGTTTGATTTTCGGCTATGATTTGGGAATTTCAGGTAAGAAAATTTAAATTTTGAATCACAATAATATTTTTATCTTTCAATTTAGTGTACTGATAAATCTTATATTTTAAATTTTTTTTCTCCCTCAGGTGGTGTGACGTCTATGGACTCTTTTTTGTCAAAGTTTTTTCCGGCGGTGTACAAGAAAGAGACGTCCACGGATCCTTCGAACAATCAGTACTGCAAATTCGATAGTCAGATTCTGACTCTTTTTACATCATCTTTGTATCTGGCGGCTTTGTTTTCGTCGATAGTTGCGGCCACCGTTAGCCGGAAGYGTGGGCGGCGAATTACCATGCTTTTGGGCGGCATTCTGTTTCTCGCCGGAGCTCTCATCAATGGCTTCGCCCAATCCATTTGGATGCTCATCGTCGGCCGTTTGCTTCTAGGTTTCGGCATTGGTTGCGCTAATCAGGTTTTTTAATTAAAATCCTTTTGTTTGATTTWAATTACATGCATGATTAGAATAATTAATTTTTAAATTTTAAACACAAGAAGGGAAGAAAATTTAGCTTAATATTTTAATTTGTTGATATCTGTTTATTTACCCTAAATTTAGGATATTAGGGTAAACGATTGTTTTTTGATCGCTTTGATACAAAACAGAATCGTGATATTCTCAACTGAAAAGAATAAAAAGATATTTTGTGTTTTTCACTTTATTATTGAAACAAAATAGTTATCTAACCTTAATAATAGAAAAATTCAACTCAAATCTTAATTTCTTAAACCTAAATCCAAAAAAGAAATCTTACTGTGTTATGTTATGTTTGGTAGTCGGTACCAATCTACCTTTCGGAGATGGCTCCATATAAATATCGAGGTTCTCTTAACAATCTCTTCCAACTCATGATCACCGTCGGCATTCTCATAGCCAACATCCTCAACTATGGTTTCTCCAAGATCTCCGGCGGGTGGGGATGGCGGTTGAGCTTGGGGGGAGCCATGGTCCCGGCCCTGATCATCATCGTCGGCTCCTTCACCCTCCCCGACACTCCGAGCTCACTGATTGAGCGTGGTTGCCACGAAGAGGCCAAAGAGCTGCTCAAGGAGGTCCGTGGGGTGGACGATGTGGATGCCGAGCTCGCGGATCTGGTTGCAGCCAAGGATGCTTCAAAGCAAGTGAAAAACCAATGGGTAGCTTTGTTCCAAAGCAAGTATAGGCCACAGTTGACCATGGCCATTGCCATCCCTTTCTTCCAGCAGCTTACTGGGATTAATGTCATCACTTTTTACGCTCCGGTTTTGTTCAGAACTTTAGGGTTTGGAAACTCAGCTTCTCTGATATCGGCCGTCATTACTGGAACTGTTAATTGTTTGTCCACCATTGCTGCCATTTTGCTCGTTGATAGGTTTGGAAGAAGGGTTCTTTTCCTTGAAGGTGGCACTCAAATGTTCATGTCCCAGGTAACCTATTAAATCCCTTTTAATGTATATTTCTTTTAATGTATATTTCTGGTACCATTTGATAATTATTTTATTTTTTAGATTGTGGTGACTGCTATGATTGCATACAAGTTCGGCGTGAATGGGATTGCGGGAGAATTATCGAAGGGATATGCTGGTGTGGTGGTGTTGTTCATATGCACCTATGTTGCAGGGTTTGCATGGTCATGGGGACCTCTGGGATGGTTGGTTCCGAGTGAAATCTTCCCTCTAGAAGTCCGACCTGCCCTTCAAAGTGTGAACGTGTCGGTGAACATGATATTCACTTTCTTGGTCGCTCAAATCTTCACTGCCATGCTTTGCCACATGAAGTTCGGAATGTTCATCTTCTTCGCCTTCTTCGTGCTCATGATGAGCATTTTCATCTACAAGTTCCTTCCCGAGACCAAGGGCGTCCCCATTGAAGAGATGAATGTTGTTTGGCAGAAACACCCCTTCTGGGGAAAATATGTTAACCCTAGCCCAGAAAAGCCCCAGAATATTTCTTCTACTTAGATGCTTTTCTAGTGTTTTTTTCAATAGGTTTTCCAGAGTTTTTATTTGTTTGCTTAGTTATTGTTAGGATCAAGTTTATTTTTATTTTTCATTTCGATTTAGTCGTTGCTTTTGCTTTTGAAGACGTTAGTTTTGTTATATATTTTCGTCAGTTCGTAAATAAATTATTTCGTTTCATTCGCAAAGTCTTATACTAATTACTTTATAATTAACGTTTATATTAAGTTTAATGAACTTTTGACATTCATATAAACATTGATGAACTTATTTAATWAAGTTTTATTCCTATTGCTTTACTATTTCTCCTGTAARTGACTGATTATGTACTTATCATTTAATTAGTTTTTACTTTTTAAGTTTTTCCCTTTACAGTCAAGTTAAATTATATCTGAACAAAGTCGGAAATAAAAATTTATCAGTTGTACCTACGATTTTTCTTTTCACGTGATAGTTAATTTAATTCCCTATTAAAAAGTTAAAATTCACAAATTTTGAATTTTAGATTTAGTTTTGACATTAGAAAAATCAACATTCAAATGCCTAATTGTTGACTTTTTTCCCTCTCTTTTCG